AAAAAAAAAAAAAAAAAAAAAAAAAAAAAAGAACAGGGCACTTGCTTAAACACGGCTCCGAAGATAAAAACTACAGCTTCCCAGTTGAAAATTTCAATAACTATATTGCTCTCAGAATAACTTTTTTTTGCTAACTAAGCAACTCATGTAACAAGGAAACGATTCTGGAAAGAAAGACATTATAACAAAAACTTCTGTCGTTGAGTACCTGCTGTGTTCCGGGATCGTTCAAGTTCGAACTTCTCCGCTTTTTCCTTTCTCGAACATAACGATCTCTAACTTTTTTCCATAAAGATTGTAAAGTGTGGGATTCATCTGTAATCAGGAAAGACATCATGTTAGTCGATCCCTAATCGAACAGCCTGTGGAACAAATATTTGACAGTGCTCACCTTTAACTGCCCACATATTACTACTACTCTTGTTATTCTTGTCCTTATGATTACTGTTATTATCTCATTCACGATCATCACCATCTATATCTTTTTGTTCTCATGAGTCCGATTCTTATCCGACGGTATAATTAAACCAAACAAAGAAAAATGTAAAAAAAAAACACTATTTCTAAAACAAATCTTTGCAGTCATTGTAAAAATACAGATATGACTGAAACTGAGTGATTTCGCTCGAGACCAATTATTTGTAAAATTAAATACTTCAATACACAATATAAACTTTACACTAGTCCCTAGCTCCTAAAACCTTTAACAAGAAATTTAACTACCCAGTTTTACACAACGCTCATGAAACACACGAATATTTACCATTGTAACCAAGATCAGCACATATTTTTTGCCAAACACGAGCACGATACTGTACATTAGCCTGTTTACTGCCATAATGCTCATGAGTTGGATTATATAAACACGGTTGGCTTTTAACGGCTTCAATAAGTCGATAAGTGAAATTGTCACCATCGATCGAAGATGAAGTGGCGCTTCCAGACGGCGTTGCATTTGCCATATCTGCCGCGCCAAGACGCTAATATGCACAAAGCAAGCTATCCAAGTTTTTTATCTCCTTACTAATCAATTGCAAGTCCTAAAAGACCTTTATTTTAGCACTTAGCACTCCTAACAATACACTGTATCCAGCTTATTATCAAGTGGCATTAAAACGCGGAAACCGGAAATAACGTTTAATAAAAAAATCGAACAATTTTTGACTTCTAAATGTAACACACCATCTGCTTCCCAACGTATGCAAGTGATGCAAAAAGAACCATTAAAAAAATTCACATTTTTCGTAAAAAACAAATTCTGAAATCGATGTCAACTAATTAATTAAACGTATACAGAAAAAAAGCTACCTGCAAACCGTGACAAAATTAATATTAAAAAAATTTTACTACAGTGCACTGCCTGGTTAGTAATAAGAATGTCTTCATCCAATTTATCAAGACCAGACAAGATGAACGAGAAAAATGACAGAGACAAATATGTAAACAGAACAAAAAAATAACAATGAAACGAAGTCGATGATACTTGCAAAAGAAAAAATTATGCTAATCCTCAGAGTCTCCGAATCAAGCCCTGAAAAGGATAAAGGAAAACCAAAATTTTCACCCAAACAATCTAATTTCTGTACATATTTCAAGCACTTTCTGAAGAATAACTCATTACCCGTTCAATAACAAGAAAATTGTGAGAGCAAAGAACTGCGAAATGTTTCGTTTGTAAAAAGTTAATTTTGCGGTACAGAAAACGGGCAAAACCCGCTAATATCACAACAAAATAAAAAAATAAAAAAGAACAACACTTTTTGAGATTCTCCCGCACTACAGCAACATTAAAGTAGAAAAAATAAATTAACATTACATTAGAAACCAATCTTCTAATCAAACACCCATCCCTCTACCTTCGTCGGATCATAAGCAGTTAAAAATGTTTGCTAAGGAGTATATTGAAACAGTATACAAACAAACAAATGTAATGTTTGAGAACTATCAAAAGCTGCATAAACGATCAGATTCACATCTAGCATTGATCTATGAATATTCAAGAATCAAGAGCCAAATGCACTATCTTTCGATATCCTACTATGAACCGCTAATATTGCAGCAAAATAGAATAAAATAAAATAAAACAAAAGAAAAGAAAAAAAAAAACAACAGTTTGAAAAAAATCTTAGTACAAGATTAAAAATCAATTTTTTTTTTTTTTGTCCGCTTTAACACAATGAACACCTTTAGAAACAGTAGACTGTTTGTATAAACAACGACGTCCATCAGTTCATCTGCAAAACCTGGGACAGTTGATTTAAGGATACTTATACAGACTTTTTCACCTCTAAATACGATAAGCAAATCCTACGCGTACTATTCACCTAAAACCTAAACCGTCTTGTATTTCTCGCAAAAATAATGTTTCAGAAACCACGGTTAAGCAAAAAAAAAAGAAAAAAAAAAAAGAAAAAGAAAAAATCGAAAAAAAAATTTTTTTTTTTCTTGCGACAAATCACTATAATTTTAATGACAAACTGCTAGCACAAAAAAAAAAAGCAAACGAGAAAAAAAGCATCATTTTTTCTCCGTCAGTTTTAAAAACTATAGAAAAGAGTAAGTCACCAAGTACACCGCTTCAATAGTACCACAATAAGAAGTTAAAACAGTTAAGTGGCAACGTAGAATATGCCGAATGGAATCTAAACAACGAAATATACCGTCCGGTCGCATTGTCAGCAGCAAAAAAAAAACGAAGAAAAGAAAAAACAAAGGGAAAGAAACCTTCCTTAGATCATAAAGCCGCAAACACAAACATGTAAAAAAGTATTAAACTAGTCGCAAAATACCAACTCCCAAAAATTCCTGAAATTAATAATTTTTAAAAATTCCCTCGTTAACGCGACGCATCACGCAACGCAGCCCAACTCCGCATCGCCGAACCATTTGTATAAAAATTAACGCGTGCTGCGTTTTGATGCGATTTTTAGATGAAGTCGCCGCAACGCATCCATATTCTCTTTATTATATGCGTGAAGAAAATACCGCACTGCTTACCGCAAATGACGCTTTAGGACAACGATTATTCAGCTGCACAAATTACAGCCAAATATTTTTTTTAACCTGCAACTAAATATCAACAAGGAGAAAAAAAAAGGAAAAAAATATATTGCATATTTATCATCAGTAATATTGGCATATAATATTGATAGAATTATTGAAATTGGAGAAAAAAAGGTATTTGTATCAGGGTATTTGGTGTGGAATTTT